GTACATAATAAATAAGGTTCCTCTGCACTTATCAGGAAATAATCTAAATTTTCTAACTAAGAGGCTAAAGCACTTACATGAGGTAGCTTCTTACATCAATATTGAAGATTCTGCTTTGCTGTAGTGATTTATTTTTGGTAGAAATATTTCGTGTATTTTTAAAGAAATAAGTAACATGGTGGTCATCATGAGTCCCCCAAATCCAGTTCCTCCCATTCAGGTGGTAACAGTTCCTCTTGCCAGTGACTGATTTGGGAATGGGCAGATGTATCAGTCAGGAATAGGTTCACCAGAAGTTAATGAAAACTCAAAGTAACAGTAAATTAAACACAGATTTTATTTTCTCACTTATCTGAAGGTACATAGTCCAAGATTCATAGGGCAGGTCTCTGAAGTTAGCAGGGACCCAGGCTCCTTCCAGCTTTTTGCTCCATGAGAACTTGAGTGTACCCTTGTCCTAAGATCCAAGATTGCAAAAAGCTTCAATCATCATGTCTGCATTTCAGAAATCAGAATGGAAAAAGGATAAAAGAAGAGTTGCTACTTCTTTTTTAGGGATACTTCGTAGAAGTTTTACAGAGCATTTCTACTTATGTTTTACTGACCAGAATTTAGTCATATGACCAAACATAGCTTCAAGGGAGGCAAGACAATATAACTGGCCAGTGATGTGATACAAATCAAGACAATATTACTACAGAAGATGGGGAAAATAGATATTCAGAAGCAACTAGAGATCTTTGTCATGATATGTAACTCAATTCTGACCAATGGGTTGTAAGAAAACCTATATAGGTTTCTGAGAAAACCTATAGTGGTGACTTCTCTATTCCTAAAACAGGAGACCTGAGAAAAGATGGTTCATTTTAGCCCTTAAATATTTCAAGATCTGAGATGATTCCTGGAATTTCAGCCATCTTGATACCATACTGAAGATGAAGTCTGGGAGAGTCCAGAGAACTACAGAGAAAAAATGCCCAGACATGTCATTTTTGTAGCCAGCCCTACCTCCGGCCTTTCTGATATTGGAGAAGACAAATTTCTCTATTGTTTAAACAACAACTGAGTCAGACTTTTATTTTACTTGCAACCAAGGCTCTCAATTTTAAAGGCTATCATTTCAAAATTTCAGACATAGACCAAAAAGCACTATAACCATAATAATAGGGTTTTGTTTGAACACTTATTAAAACACATTAATCTATATTTGTATATTGTTTATTATCATAAAATGAAGCAATGTTATAGGAGTAGGCTTAGGGAAAAAAGCCTAGATAAGCAAGAAAAGTTAGTACCAAAGCCCTGGTAACCTTAGAACCTCTGGATCAGATCACCTGAAACTCATTCTATCAGCAGACTTTTCAATTACATGAGTCAATAAATTTCCTCTATTACATAAACCAGTTTGTGTTGGGTTTTCTGTTGCTTGTGCTACAAGCATCCAAAATCAGGGATTTTCAAACTTCAATGAGCATTCAAGTCACCTGAGGATCTTGTTAAACGTAGATTCCAATTCAGCAGGCTGTGGTGGCTGAAGAGGCTACATTTTAACAAGCTCCCAGGTCATGCTGATGTTGCTGGTCCACAGACAGCATGTTGAATAGCAAGGTTCTACTACTTAATGTAAAGATCTTTCCACCTCTGGAACGCTACCTTACTCTCCCATGGAGAGAGCCAGGTGAAGGTAGGCTTGGGAGGCCGAGGTTTGGAGATAGACCGGAGCTAAGGGTCTAGGTCTAGAAAGGAAGCTAAAATGGAGGCAAGCATTGGTTCCAAAAGTTTGAACCAGGCCATAGGCCACAAGTTCTAGCAAACCACAAGTTCTAGCAAACCACAGAGAATTAATAAACTGGAAAGAAAGGTTGGGTACAGTAGCTCACACCTGTAATCCTAGCACATTTGGGAGGCCAAGGCAGGATTGCTTGAGGCCTGAAGCTTAAGACCAGCCTGGGCAACATAGCAAAAATTCCTCTTTACAAAAAACATTTTAAAAATTAGCTGATGACTAGGCAAAAAAAAAAAAAAAGAGCCAAGCGTGGTAGTGTGCACCTGTGGTCCCACCTACGTGGGAGGCTGAGGCAGGCAGATCACTTGAGCCCAGGAGTTCTAGGTTACAGTGAGCTGTGATGGCGCCACAACACTCTAGGCTAGGAAAGAGAATGAGACCCTGCCTCAAAAACAAAAAAATCAAAAAACAATGGAATGCACAAAATATGAAGAGATCATCTGAGAAATACATAATCATGTGAACATTGTTGCCATCTGTGATAATCCATTTCATAGAACACATGAATTTTTAGCATTACTTATAATGACCAAGAAAATAAAAGGATGTTATAGCCTGTCAGTCAGAAAACTCCATTTTAAGTGGCTTCTCAGATTCTTCTCTTATTAAAACTGTATCATTTCCAAACAGAAACTTAATCTGCTTACTTGTGGTTTACACATAAATGTTCTTCCCTCTTCCTCCTTCTCCTTTCTCCTTCCACCCTTTATTCCCTCCCCTTCCCCTTCTATTTTTAAACAATTCCATCCTAAAAACCATCGAATGAGGCAAAAAATGAACGTATATGCACAGGTGGGGTTAGGAGCAGGGTGCTGACCAAAATTCGGATGTCAGAGCTCAAAGTTGCAGGGGGGCTGAAGGAGTGGGCACCCAGCATGAGATGTCAGAGTCCAAGCAGGGCGAGGAGGGCATCCACGTGGGCGAGGAGTGGTAGTCCAGCCAGGGTGAGCACATTTCAAGTGGGTTGGGGAGGGCGTCTGCACAGGGATGGGAGTGGCAGGTAAGATGGAGATTGGTTACTTAATGGGGTTGGATCAGTTAAATAAATATTTTAACAATAATGAGAGCATATCCTTCACTGGAAGGCAAGGGAGTCACAAAGAAAAGGGAAAAAAACTAAAAGTCTCTAGTGTTGGATTGGAATTGTAGGTATTGGTATAAACTAGTAGTTTTAAATAGATAGATGATGAGAGAGAGATGTAGATATGCACATGTGTGTATGCATATATGCACATATATATGTATATTGTCTAGTTCTGTGCACTGAACACCTGGGAGCAGCAATACCCACATATCAATCAACACACCTGGCACAAGAAACAAATAAGATGAGCCTGGAACACCTTGTAGTCCTCAAAGAAAATGCTCAAAGAATGATGAAGACATGTCAGAAGGACACGGGTCCAGTGTGAGGGAGCTGGCAGCTGGCCACCTCTGAGATAACTTGAGAACCAAAATAAACAATGATAATAAAGAAGCATAATCTAATAAACTGTGAGTCCATAGGGATATAAATACACAAATATCTGTATATACATACATGGTATCTGGAAATATACAGATATATGTTTTAAATGTATAATACATATGTTTTTCGTCTTCTTTTAGAGTCAGAGTCTCGCTCTGTCACCCAGGTTGCCTGATCATAGCTCACTGCAGCCTTGAACTCCTGGGCTCAAGCAATCCTCCCAACTCAGCCTCCTGAGTAGCTGGAACATAAGTGTGTACTACCACACCCACCTAATTTTTTTTTTTTTTTTAATTTTTGTAAAGATGGCTTCTAGCTATGTTTCCCAGGCTGGTCTCAAACTCCTGGCCTCAAGGGAGGGAGCCTTCCACCTCAGCCTTCCAAAGTGCCGGGAATACAGGCATGAACCATCACGTCTGGCCAACATATAGAGTAAACACATATAGATACATTGAAAGTTTGAGGAACAGGATATCTAGATAGTTTCCAAGTACTACCTCACAAAATACTTATTAAGCCTGGTATATACCATCTTAATTAAGGGAGTATCATCAGCAATGGGACAAATGGAAATCATAGCTTACAACCACTTCCAGAAATTAATGGCCTTAATCTAATCGTGAGGAAACAGACAAACCCAATTGAAAGACATTCTACAAAATAACTGAACTGTAATCTTTGAAAGTGTCAAGGTCATGAAAGGCAGTGAAAGACTGAGGAACTGTTCCAGATGGCAGGAGACTAAAAGACACGGCAGCTAAATGTTCCACATGATCCTGACCTGGACTCTTTCCCTATAATGGAGCAGGTCCGAGGATTACGTGGTAGTGGTGTATCAAGGTTAATTTCCTGATCTTGATGTTGGTATTGTGGTTACATAGGGGAACATTCTCATTTGTAGAAAATACATACTAAAGTATTTGGGGGTAATGGGACATCAGATCAACAATTACTCTCAAACAGTTCAGAAAAAGGGTTTTTTATACTGCACTCCCAGGTTTTCTGTAAGTCTGTGATATGTTTCAAAATGAAAAATGTTTTTGAAAACAAATGTTATCAGACGAATTTGTGTTTCTGAAGCCTCATGAAGTTTTTTTTCCACATAAGGAAATATCTCCTATTGTGCTGAAAGGAAACTTTGATGACATGGGAAGGTTTGATTTAAACATTGAATTATTATAAGACGCAAGCATTTTAAGTTAGACTGCATTCCCCTCTTTTACTGCAAACCCCTAAAGAAAATAACTGTACTTACTAACCTTGGGCGCTATGAATTTAATTCTCTAAAACTGCCTGGAATAAGCCGTAGTCAAATAATAGGAGAAGCATGATGGAAACTTCTTTTAACCTTTTAAATGACTATCCTTTCTTCTTAATAGGAAACTTCCATTAACTAGTCTCAGGGGAAAATATTACTAAAATTAAACTTTTTTCAAAGCAACCATATGACTTCATTTCATAGGGAAATTGATGACAAGGAATAAATATCTATTACAAAAACATTTTCATTAAAAATGTACATATTGACTTCATGAAATGCTTTGTGAATTGTATGAACAGCACTTAGCCATTTTATAAGAAATGTATGACAGATATTTGTGTGTAGCAGATTTTTAATGTCCGACTGCCATGTGTTTCTGTACATAGATTTTTTTTTCAAATTTCTAAACACAGTAAAAGCCACCAGAGAGAAATGTGAAGCAATTCATTAAAATCTTGGCAGCCGGGCCCCCAGCTCCCACTTACCCTGAAAGGCGCCTTTACTGAAGCTGAACACTCTCCCAGTAATTCCCTCCACAGAAGATCTATTGTCACCACCTCGGGAGGGACAATTCCTGGAGGAACCAAGTCGGCCAATTGAGGGTCTTGAATAATCACAAATAAGTAAATACATTATTACCATCTTGAAAGTGGCACATTAGTGCACTCTTTTGAATGCCCCCTGAGAAAATAAATTGGATTAAAATTAAATATTTTGTTGTAAGATGTAATGCTCAAATTCAGGGGATTCTGTTGTCCCTCTAGAGCAGTGCTCCCCGACATTTTTGGCACCAGAGACCGTTTTCATGGAAGATAATTTTTCCACAGACTGGGGGTTGGGGGGAGGGGTGGTTTCCAGATGATTCCAGTGCATTACATTTATTGTACACTTTATTTCTATTATTATTACATTGTAATATATAATGAAATAATTATACAAGTCACCATAGGTTGGGGACCCCTGCTCTAGAAAGTATCAGTTGTGGGGGGAAGGGAGATGATAGGCTGTCTTTCAGCTGTTGAATCACAAGAACCTCTTTTCGCTGAAAAGATTTTACTTTGACAACATGTTGTAGGTGATCATTAATGAAAGATGTGTCTCCTTGCTAAGAACATTATGTTTTCTGTACTTTTCACATGTTTGTGGCTCTGAAAAAAAAATTTTTTCCCCAGCTGCTGTCCCCTCCAGTTGGCTTTGATAATTAGGGCTGGGAAATTTCAGTGCTCCATGGTAGCCTCTTCTCTCCCTTCATTCTCCTCCCGGTGGCTATCTCTTTGGTGTCTTTGTTCTCAGCACAAAATAGTCCCTGCAAGCACTGATCAAAGTTCTGTGAATACACACTGACTCATTAGGTACTCAAAGATCATCTTCTTCGTTAAGTAGCTTCTTTTTTATTTCAATAGTGGTTTATTTTTTATTCATCTTACCATGAATCACAATATACAAAGGGAATGTGGTTTGACCTGAGGTCTAAAAAAAATTACCATATCATAGACAATCTTTTTGAAAAAGATTTTACTGTGCCAAAAAAAAAAGTAAACCTCTGAACCTTTCTTTACGTGAATGCTAATAATACCGACTACTTTAGAGAAATTGCAACTAGCCCAGCACGTTCAAAAGAAGACCCAAGCGGTTAATCATAAAAATAGCCATAAACCAGTCTGCTTCAAACCCCTGTCCTTTTCAGAAAATAATTTAATTTTGTGGAAGTATTGAGATTTGTAGGTGATCTTTTAAAATTTTTACTGAAGATTCCACTAATGTTTCCCCTTGTGTTTAATTTTTTGAAATATGTTTTAATTTAAGCCCTCTTCATTCTCAAATATCCACACCTTTTCCAAATTTTGAGGCTCCCTCCTCCATCACAGAATGTTTCTTTAAAAAGACAAGCTGCATGTCTATCCTTGCAGTCAAGATCCATCTCTGGGTCTGCTGGGAGATAATATATGGAGACAAATTAGAGCCAGCGGGAAAGAGATATCCCTCTCTCCTGCCTGAAATCAGAATCCATCAGAATGCTCAGTATTAATGGCAACCTGAACCCTGTAATGTGTCACCTTTCTCTTCAGGGCCTCGGGCCTCCAAATGTCCATCTAATCTATGTCCACCCCTGGGAGCAGATAGGACAATTCCCTGTCCGGTGTTCTTTGATAGTATCAAAACCGCGTGCTTAAGAAAAAGCCTGACATTTACACCAGGTTGGCCAAATGCTCAGCTGAGTCTCAAGAGGGTAAAGAATTTCAAGTACTTAAAAAAAAAAAAAAAAAAGCCAGCAATAGAGTAGTATACTAAGTACTTAATTGAGAGTTGAGAGGCCTGAATTCCTGTCACAGCCCTGGCATCAGCTGGCTCTGTGACCTTGGGTAGGTCATTTAACCTTTTTTGTGGACTTGGTTTCCTTGTTTTAAAATAAAAGGTTGAACTATGGTCCCGAAGTCTGTTTTGCTTCTAAGCAGTGCTATGACTCTTAACTATAGTGGCAATAAGATAATCCAAAAAAGATATCCACTTCCCAACTGTGTCACCAAGTTCATGTGTGGAAAAAGGCTTAGGAGAAACCTGCAACTCTAGTCACCAAGGAAACACTAAAATTCTAACAGTGAAAGATACCCTGTGTAGCAGGATGAGACAAATTCTACAAAGTAAACCAGGAAAATGGAATTGAGGATTAAGAAATATTAGGGAGAGTTTTCAAAACTCTCTTCTCCCCAATTTCTTCTCAAAAATCACATTGTAGGTTTTCCCACAGACCACTGGATAGATGCCTGATAGTTCTTTGGGATAGTTTAACTCAAATAGAATGATCTCAAAAATTCAAGCAGTATTGTCAATTTTTGCTTTAAATGCCTCAGTTAAGGTTTCTTTCAGTGTTAGAAAAATCCTAATTCCTTGCACTATTGATTATATGCAATCTAGATAAACCAAGCCTCTGTCCATCATTCAGAAGTCTCCTTCATGTATGCAGCTGAATAATAATCTCAGAAACAAATTAATATTGGAATAAAGATGTCTCAGGTTCCTGAGTCCACTCAATTTCCTTTCTCTTTCACATATTTATATATTAATTTCAAGTCATAGGTGAAAACTAAAGCTTACTCTCTCCCAGTCTCTCTTTGATGTTGTAAAGAAATGTTACAAAGCTTCCTAAGGGAAGGTTTCCTGTAGGAAATAGTAATTCCAAGTGTGATTAGTCCCCAGTCTGACTGCTAGGCTGTGTGAGGAGGACTGAAATGCCCTGTGGGTCCCAGGTCAGACACCTCAGGAAGTTGGCTGCTTCCTATCCCAAGGACTGGGTAGACGGAGTTCCTAGGACAAGTCAGCTCACCACCAGCTGAAATTGGAACATACATCATAGTCACATCCTTTTGAAGTGAAAGACAAGTTGTATTTCCAGAAATTGCTTTTAGTCTGAGAAGAGGGAGTTGGAGTGGAGTGGGTTAGCGAAGGTGGAACTCAGCCCTCAGAATGGAACAGGTTAATGGCTGAGCTGCGGACTGGCCTGCAGCCGCCTCTCTCTGAGCCATCTCTAGCACATTCTCACCTTCACTCTTCTGCCTCTCCCAGTGTTCACTGGAGAGCATGCTGGGCACAGGGAGGTCAAAAGGAAATCGGGGAAAGGGCAGTGGGTGGGGGGGTAGGAGAGATCAGAGATGGCAATGGTAGGGAGAAAATCCTTTTCAGCCCTCTTGTGCCTTTTCTCTCCCTCTTGGGTCCCTCCTCAAGCTCTAAAACTGGAGCACTATGAGAGCAATAGAGAGAAGCTTTGTTTTCGTGGCACATAGCATTAGCCACAAGTTGGAATATCTCCCATGGAGCATTTTACCTGGAATGAGATCTGAATCCCAGAGGAAAATAATTCCTTTCCCAAAACACAAATCCTGAGCTGGTTCTGCAAGAGGAGCACCCTCTAATGAGTCAGAGGGATAAGCTTTGTGCTCTCAGTGATCAGCCACCACCCACACTAGCCACAGGAAGCCCCACCCAGCCCCTCACCCTGCTGGCACCCTGTGAAATTCCAGTTCTAAGAGGCACCTGAAAGGGCTCTTGTTTAAACACTGATTGCTGGGCTTCGCCCCCAGAGGTTCTGATTCCCATTTCTAATAAGCTTCCAGGTGATCTGGGGAATCACACTCGAGAACCACTATTCCAGCACATAGTAGGCATGTAACACACATTTGTCCATTTTCATAATGGGAAGTCAGGGATGAGTGCTGTGGAACAGAAGAAAATAGGAATCATCATTCCATTCTGGATTTCTGAGTTTATTAATACATATATTTGTTGTACTTTTCCTCACTCTGTTTCCCACACTGCTGATGCAAGTTTAACACTGTTAGTGCAATTTTTGCCATTTTCGGGAAACAGCTGTTGCTTTCCTCTTCTCCTCAAAAGACAATGAAAATGTAACAATAGGCAAAATGATATTTTGGAAAAAAACTGGTATCTTACATATCTGTGATAGCCTTGCCTCCTACATAATTGACAATTGACATTTTAGGGATTATATACATTGACTTTTCATTTTCTTTCAAATCTTTAGGAAGATATCAATTTAAAAAGTCTAAGTGATTTGCCAACATTTACATAGGAACTTTTTTTGGCAGAAATACACATTTCCAACCTGAAGAAATATTTTCTGGCTCAAGTGATCATTTTGATCATGAGTTAGAAAAATCATAGAGTCTGCACAGTGGGGTATAGGATTGCTGCTTACTTTCTGTCATTTCTTCAGCTCCTCTCCTTTAGCTTAAAGCCTGGATACAAGTGAGTTAAAAGGAAATGGATTATTTAAAACCTACATTTGTGGCTGATTTTCCATGCTCCAAACTTCCTCCTCTTAGACATACACACTTTGGGAAAAACTCACAGAGCATGAAGAGACAACTTTTATTTAATGAGACTGAGTAATGTATATTCATCAATATACTGATGACTTGAATTACTTAAGATTTACAAGGATCACTGCAATGACAATATATTTTCTTGCAATTACACTTCTCCGTGTTCAAAAAGCTTTATGGACTTTCAAAATGAATTTCTGTAACAGCCACCAAGATAAATGAGGAACAGGTGTAATTATCTCCTCTTCACAGATGGATAGGCAGACACAAACGAACGCACGGACTGCATCGACCAGGAAGAAAGTCAAGCTAAGGGCCCAAATCATTCTAATATTAATACAATCTGCCTCTCCTATCAGTGCCATTTTCCTTTGATTCATGAATATCTGTGTTGAGGAGAACTCTGAAGGCATTGTTTTTTTCATTCTTTAGTGATGCAAGAAAGAAAAAAACTCTGGAGGAGAGGAAATGATGAGACTGCTGAATATAGACAGCAGCAGTGCAAGTCTATAAAACCCAAATTTATTTTTTTTGGATAATATGATCAAGGCCTTTCAATGCTGAATTCCATCAGCATCTGATCTGCCAGCAACATACTGTTATTTACATAAAAGCAGGCAGACAGAGGGTAATATTAAACTAATAGACATTATTGCAAGGCTACAACACCTCTAAAAGTACTCAACCTTTGGGTAGCAACCGGGAATTTTTTCAAATGACAATAGTTTACAGTGCAAGAGGCTTAGAAATACGCTGTCTCTGGCCAGAAGCCAGACCGCTGACACAAAACAGCACAGCCACACACCCTGGGGAGAGGAGAGTAGCAACGGCCTGAAAACCTGCACTACTTACTAACCCTCTTTCATATTATGCCACGTTTGTTTTGTTAACAAGACATTCATACTACAAAAACTAAGTTCCTTGGGAATCATAAATTTTAATAATCTCACTTTTTAAGCAATGGGCACTATGACAGGATCATAAACCAGAAAACCTGGAAGTCTCCAGACTGGTGGCTTCCACAAGGCACCTCTCCACCTCCGGCGTCTGAGGTGGTCCACCATCCCCAGCTCACCAGAGACCTCGTTATTCCTGCCTCTCACTGGCAGCAACCTGCTCCCGGACAGCAAGCTCCCCTTCCCGGATGCCTCCATCCCAGAGACCATGAGACTGCAGGAAATGAAAGGTGACTAAGCCCTCAGCTGGGAGAGGCCTCTAAGTACAAAGGTTTGGGGTTTTCCTTTTCTATAAGTGCTGTTCTTCACCAAGTAGAGTACATTTTAAAGTGTGGAATTCAATTTACGATGGAAGAGAAATGCACAAAATTCTCAAAGGAGGCAGAGACTATAAAATAGGCAAACTGCTATTCTAAAAGGTATGTGCCTTAAAATTCAAAAAATAAGAATAAAGGAAGGGCCTTATCTGTGCAGTATTCCCTCTAATATTTTAAGGTAGAGAAGGTAACATGCTACATATACAACTGCCTATGAAGACTGATTAAATAAAGATATAAACAGATATTTAGAGGAAGGAGAGTTACTGTTCTAATTCAGTGGAACAGCTTAATCATACATATTTGGTGTTACACTTGTTTTTGTTAAATGATAATAAAATACAAAAGTAAGGATATCATTGAAATAACTGTAACGAGTAGCATTTTACACAACCTTAGGTATTTTTAGTTTTTTTTTTAATTGTTGTTACTTTAATAGTTCAGAATCTTTTGCCACCATTAATATTATTAGTCCATTAATCAATATTATCAGTTTTCCATAATGCCATTTTTTTTTATATTATCAGCATTCACACAGATATATTCATATTGGGAGAAAACAGTGCTGGATCAAATTCCTTTTCACCCAGAAATTTCTTTGTTCCTCCTCTTCAACTTATACTCAATACCTCATGTGTTTTATCTTATCAGCCCTTGCTGACACATTGGCAATTTTTCTTAAACTTGTCAGGTCAAAAGAATAACCTAAAGAAAAAACAAAATATAGGGCCACTATGTCAACTGAACCAGAGTCTCCAGGGGAAGAGCTGAGGAAATCTGTATATTTAACAAGCAGCACAAGTAATTCTTATTAGGTG